CTCTCTCTCTCTCTCTCTCTCTCTCTCTCTCTCTGTCTCTCCTCTCTCCCTCACTCCCCCTCGCTTGTATGCACGCGCATGATCAGTGCTTTCTCTTTCATTTCTCCACTAACAGACTGAAAAATCGGAAAGGCTCATATTTCCCATGAATTCCTGCCTTTCTGGAAAAGCAACCACCAAGCAAGCATGGTGCTATTGCTTTGGAAAACATTCAACCCCTATCAAAAAATAAAGCAGAGCACCAGAGAAGGAAAGACAAGGCTGGAATAGAAGGAAGCCTCTTGTTTGGATTCAGTAGTGGAGGAAAGTGCAAGCTGAGGTCAGGCTGGAGGTTCCTGCTGCCTTACTTCAGCACCAGAGGAGATGCACAGCGTCCCCCGACTGGGCTGCTGCCACCAGGACAAAACAAGCTGGTGCCTCTGCAGTCCTCATTGCTACTGTCCTGAGCTCCTCGCTGAAAATGTGGTATCTTCTGATACCACTTGCCTCCCTGGTCCCTTCTTTAACGGACGAAAAATAATCCTCACTTCCCCCCTACACCCAGGGACTGGGTTTTGCTGAGTACTGCTTCGCAGATTAACTCAGCAGCGACTTCAAGAATAATTTTTGTACAGGGGTCTGGGAAAGATGCAGGCAGAAGAGTGAAGTCGAAGTTCTTAGAAATCATAGGCTCTGCTGTTGGGGCTGAAACACTCAAAGGCCCACAGTTACTGAAATGAGGTCATGTTCCTGAGTGGATTGCATCTGTGGTAGAAATAGCTTTGCCAGAGGTTGGAGATCTACTCAAATCCGTACATTGGAGAAACGGAAAAGACTTCTGTTTTGCATACAGAGCAGGTAAGTGATGCTACAGTTATTTCTGTTTTATACACCTCTGAAACTCTAAAGATGTTTCCCAAGGTTTAACAGAAAAAAACATAAACAGCATTATTTACCTTGTAGATTATGGAGGACATAAGCAATTTGGTTTAATTTTTAAGTGGTTATTCCTAGATCTCAGCTCCCTAAGAACTTTGGATCACAGATGCACACAATTATCCCCAACTATTGGTTGAGATGGTGTTTCATAAACTTTTTGCCTGGGCTGGCCTCATACTGCAATCCTCCCAATCTCAGCCTCTCAAGCAGCTTGGATTACAAACTTGAGCCACTGGCACCCAGCTGGCCTGAAACATTTGGTCCTCCTACCACAAACTCCTGAATATTGAGATTACAGGCTTGTGCCTCTATACATGGCTAGGAATGTTATGGTCTTTTAAAGGACTTACTGGTTTTAAATACATGTAAAAATAAGACAAATGTAATACCCCTTTAAAATAATTTCTTAATTCGATAATTTTGTAGGATTTAAATATACATAATGGAACATTTATAATGTAGCACAGTGATATTCATTATTTTGACTTCTTAAGTTATTGAATTTCACAACATTCATAATACACTTTGAATTTTACATCTATATGTACACAGAGAGAGAGAGAGATGTCCACTAAGCAATGAGTATATCTAATTAATACAAAATGTGGAGTTCCTTTTTATTCCTTATTATGGAGTCTTTTTCATTGATGAACATTTGTATCAACTTTTCAATTTAAGAATTCATTAGTCAGGAATGAATATTTCAAGCCATGCTACTTAGGATTTTATATGTAAACAGTATGTGTGCTTCTTTGCCTATTTTTTTCTTTATTTTCATTTGTTCCTGACAGAGCCCGGTGTTCACTTAGTTCATTAAGTAGCTCTGAGTCTGTGAGCTTCATGGGTGATGACAAATCTCTGCAAGGTACTCACTGTGTTTCTCATAGGTGTTATCCTCATTACTTCCTTATTTTTTAATCTCCCAATTTTGTCTGAAGGAATTTAATATGACTTTTCTTTGCTAGGGTTACCAGAAGTGGCAGAATCTACGTGGTTGTTTAACTCCATTTTCCATTCTGAACCTGTGCTTGCAAGTGTGAGAAGTAAAGATGAGTCTGCTACCGGGTGAGTTTTAGCTTTTCTGATGAGGGCAAATTTTACTTCCTGAATGAAACAGAGACCTCATGGAGTAACTGTCATGTACCATTCAGGGTAACATATACTACCTTCTTGAGGGCAATGAGGTTTTGATATGCAGCTCATCTGAGAGGCCAGGAGGAGCAAACAGCTGTTCTCCATTGTAATTTGCCATAGTAACATCATGAACAAGTCTAATTCAGTGACTGAAGAGGGCTTGAAAAGTTTGCATCATTGCCTAGAGTTTGAAGCGCAGCTGGATTGGTAATGAGAGGAAGGTTCCAGATTTGTTTTTCCAGAACCTTCAGGAAAACAGTGACCATAATCCGGTTGCTTTCCTGGAGAGTTTTGTTCAGTCCCCTGCTGGTTATGATGAGCCTCTGTGTTGTGCCAATCAGTCTGCAGACTGAGTTGGTTTGGGAGCAGTTATTTCTATGTCCTTAACCTGTGTACTTGCTATTCTAATTTTTTAAAGTACTTGCTTTGTGTTTAAGAAACTGTAACTTAGTAGTAAATGGATAAAATGGATAATGCAGTTTATAGATTCTCTAGTTAAAACAGTGGTTTTGATGACTTTTCCAAATAAAGTAAACATGAAATACAATTGATATTTTAAATATTTGAAAAAAATCAAAGCAAAGCTAATTATTGAGACTTTTTAATGGTATTTTATCTAGGCAATATTTCTCCACTTTGACTATAGAGACAATCTAAGTTACAGACAAGCCTTTTCCAGCTCATCTTTGCATTGCTGTTCACTGAGCACTGTGGTTCCACCTGACTTTTTCTACAGTATTCATAGTTGATTCTGAGAATCAAGGTCTCCATGAGGGCTGCTATGCTCCAGAGTGAACCCTGCCCTCAGCACACCAGAGACCCAGAGGATTCTTCTCCCTTGTAAGAAGACAAAGTACCTGCCTGAGATTTCATTTATAAGACAAGATTACAATTCCCACAATACAGGAAAAATGTAGGCATTTTCCTCCACACTAAGATGTTCAGTGGCATTAGCTACCTGAACAATATTTGAAAAATGAGCAAAGATCTTTCATATACAGTCACAGTTATGAAATTGCCTGGCCTTTTTTTTTGTGTGTGTGGAACTGGGGTTTGAACTCAGGTGCATGCACTTGCCAGGCAGACATTATAACACTTGAGCCACACCTCCAGCTCCTCAACATAAGTTTTCTGAATGTGTGTACTCCTTATATTGAGTGGAACATTCCCTACTTTCCTAGACAGTGGGTAGATAATAGTTCATGAGTTTTGTTTGAAAAGTTTCTGTATCATGATTGCCAATATTTTTCAAAGCAAGATGAGGGCCTTAGATGTTAGGGATCTGAAGTCACTTAGTGCTGATGTCAGTGCAGCCAAGTGGCAAAAGTTGCTTTCAAGATGTGTTAGAGCACACTTAATTATTTGTCAGCAGAACTGCGTGGTGACCCAACTGCACATTTGAGACAAAGTACCAAAACTGACCATTGATATTGACAGACACTACTAAGTGGTCACTTTTGCCAAATGGGAAATACATTTCTCCAATTTTGTGTTTCTCTATCACATAACTGTCAGTGAAGCAAGAAAAATATTGCTTTGACCCATATCACTGACTAAATATTGTGGCTTTCCTGGTAACTGCCTGCATAAGTACCTTTCATATATTTGTAGAGTCAGGTTAAATATTTGATATGTGTATTTCACTTTGTTTTCATCTAAAATTAAATCATAATGATTAAAACCTGATTATTTTAAACTGACAGGAAAAATATGGTGAAGCAAAATGGTAAACCATGGGAGGTTCTGTTTTTACTTTGGTAGTATCAACAAAGTCCTACTTTCTTAAACACTTACTGAATGTGTGAAGAGATTATTTGGTTAGGTTTTTTGATGAATTTACTACAATAGACTAACAAGTTATATTTACTTTGTTTACTCAGAATGGCACCATTTTGTTTAATTGTTGTAATTTTTGGCAAACATTTTTGTATTTTTTATAACATGTCAATGTTAAAGGTTGTGTATTTGTTTTGATTAGTGCTACTGTTTTTGAAAGTTGTTAAAGTAGTTGAATTTTATATAAGACTTCTAATCAAACATACTGTAACTATACATAATGTTAAGTGTTTTAGAGTAGTTATATGTATACATATACATAAACATATACACATATATGTGAGAGGATAGATAATAGCATGCAAAACTATAATCTTTCTGGAAAGTAATACTTAATGAACCCATGAAATTATTAAAAAATTAAAAGTATTCCTATGCATATCTCAGAGTTTGTACAGAGTTATGCTAAAAAAAAAAGAGAACAAAATGTTTTCTGATTAATTCTATATATTTTCTCCCAATGAATTAGAGAATGTGGAGTATGTGTTAGTATTTTTGTTAAAAAGTACATCACGGATAGGCATTAGTATAACAGGTATTTCATAAATAGCTTTTGTCTACTGAGTAATTAGGCGTGAAGTCTTACTAGTGTAGATAGATGCCATGCCTCAAATGCCTGGAGATGCTTTGTGAGCATTCTAGTTGAATAGAATTGTTATCTGTCTTAGTTTGGGTATCTATATTGAAAAAAACATGTATTGATTTTACTCAGGGACTTATGAATGGCTCAAGTGGGAGAGTGCTTGCCTAGCTGGCATGATTCTCTGAGTTCAAAACCCAGTAATCTATGCAAAAATGTAAATCTGTTGATACTGTGACATCTCTTTCTCTGTCTATGTATCTCTGCCTTTCTCTCCCTCTCTCTCTTTGTGTCTTTCTCTCTCATACACACACACGCAAAAATGCACACACACACACACACACACATACACTTAAGATTGAACAGCTCCTATTAAACTCAGGGCAAAACCACAGAACTCACAGTCCTGGCATGGTTCAACCTTATGATCTCTGTCATCTCTTTCTAATCTTGTTCCTCTACCCTCCTGTGCTCCAGCCACATCACCTACTTGCAGTCCCTCACACAAAATCTGAGTCTAAATCCTAGCATCATGGATCCTGGAAGTGGGGATAAAGACAGAAACTTGTCAGATAAATGGAGCTTCTTTGGACCAAGACCCCTCCCAAAGTCTGATTCTAGAGATTTTAACATCCAGGCCTACAAAGGAGCCCAGAAGCCAACTCCTGTGGATCTGATCTGTGCCCTGGCCTCCAGAATGGCTGCAGATCCAGCAACTTTCAGGCCACCCAAGATAGATGTCCCAGTGATTGAATGGAAGGAACAACCACTTAGAAATGGCAATCCCAAACTCTGGGACTTGAACATGCTCACAATCATTGGCTTCAAGAATGCTTTCTATCAGAGGGACTCTTACCTTGGCTCTGACATAAGCATGGTATGTTTTTCACAAAGCCTATTAAACTGAGATAGAGTTGGAAACATATCTGATTTTTGAACAATATTAGGGTAAATCTTCCCTTTGTATGGAAGAAACCATTCTGTTCCACTCTAAAGTTAGATTGAAAAAATGTCAGCAGTTATATTTGGGAAACCTCAAGACTTATTATCATTTATCCTAGACAAGAACTTTAATTCTTGTGTACTAGGTAAATAATGTTTTTTCTAAAACCTACACTTCTTGATTCTTTTACCATAATGAATGTGAGCACTGGCAAATCATGGCTTATGTGCCCTGGCAAGTTTGGGCGGTTCTAGCTCAGTCTGCTGACAGTGCAGGTGTTGTGCTCCACCTTTGTCAGTTAGGGGGACTAAGACCTGTTTGAGATTTGGGTACAGTTACCAGCTAGACTTGGCAGAGCCCTCACTTTCTAGGCTGAAACTAAAGGTGCTTTGCTTTTTGATCAACCTTATGGGTTGCTTTGTCCTGCAGCCAGTTCTTCATGAATTTTGGTACCTCTTGGGTCACTGATACAGGAGGGATGCTTCTCTTTCATATGTCACAGAACAAATAATAGTCTTGCATATCCCTTCTTGTACTTTAATGTAAATTTAATTAAAGATCACTTTGGTTGAAAACTTCCTCAGGGAGTAAATTGAGTATAGTGATTTGGTATTGATAAATGGATACTAAGCTTTTGTTTTGGTGGTGATGGAGGTTGAACCCAGGGTCTCTTGCATAGTGGGTGAGTGTGGGACCACTGCATTAATGTCTAGCCCATGCATGTTAGACTTTTTAAGGGTAAAGAATGTGTTAAGATCAGTTCAATTATATATTTGAGATTTATGTGCAATTAATGTCACCGCTTGTTTTGATTTGTCGAAGTCAGGGCTTGAAACTTTTTTTATTTTGGCATAGAGGTATGGAGAGTAGGAGGAATTCAACATTTTTCTGTAATGAAACCATTTTCCATCAAAATGAGCCTTGTACCTTTATGCAACACATCTTATTGAGGACAGGAAGTAAGAAAACTACCTTTTATTTTTCTTATGGGTACATGTTCGCTGGGTTGATCAGTGTGTCTCAAAATCTTTCTGCTTTTGTTTTGAATGGTATTTTATTTATGTAAGAGCTGACCTTCTCATAAAGAAGCCCTGAAGTATAAAATTTTCAGAGAATTAATTTATTTGTATCTTTGTTATATCTATTGTATTGACAATAAAAATCCTCAGTTCTTTCTCAAAAAAAAAAATTCCTTTACACAACCAATAGTAAGAAATATAAACCATTAGAATAAAATATCTTTTTATTCCAGAGTAACTGAGCGGTCCCAAGTAACAATCTTTGACTCTCAAGACAGCACACTCTCTGTGTCATTTCAGAACCAGGGAACTATTCAAGAATAAGAAACCCAAACCTTATACGCAATGAAAAACAACCTCTGGAGTTCAATACTGATGTGAAGACCAAGAAAAAACATGGGAGAAAGGGAAAGAGAGAACAAATACTGATGAAATAAGAATGTCAATACTGTGAGGCTGCTGGAGCAGATCTGTGACGTCTGCAGAAACATCAAGCCATAGTGTAGGCAAATAAACCTAAATCTTCAACCTTAGTGCAAGTTCTGCAATTCTAAAATTTTTCTCATGCTTTCCATTTTTAATCCTGTCTCTCACAAACCTGGAAGAGGTTTCACACCTTTTCTTAAATCCATGCCAGTTGGATTTGGGGACTTGGGCAGATCATCTCTAGCCACTGTGTTGAGTGGATTCTGAATCCCCTATGCTTTGTCACTGCTGCCATCTGAGAATGACACTTTCAGTGGAACCCAGAGCCCTGCTATTGGTCATGTCGCCCAATCTGTAAAAAATGTGCCTGCCACTATTATGACACCAAGTTCCCCATGCCTGAGTTAATAGGTGTGAAGAATAAAGACCTTACCTTTTCAAATGTTTGGATGAAGTAAGTCTTAAAATGTGCAAAAATGAATTGGTTTTACATGAATAAAATTAGTGTTCTAATAGTATTTTGCACCTCTAAATATGGAAAATCTGTTAGGTTGGTAATACACATAGGACTATATTTTTTAGCTCACTTTCTATGTGGTCCACTTAGCTTTCCTCCTTCTTACCAGTTCTGCCTTTTTGTGTATATTTATTGCACAAAATAATGGCTTTCTCTGCGCCATTTTCATAGATGGATATATGTATTTTGATTATGTTCTCCACCATTTACCCTTTTTATGCCCCCCTCTCTCTGATAGTGTTTCTTCTATTTCCATGTTATCTTGTTTGTGCCTTCTAGATTTCATATGAGAAAAAACCTGAAATACTTATCCGAGTCTGGTTGACTTCACTTAAGTTGATGTTCTATCCATTTTTCTGAAAACTACATAATCTTATTCTTTTTATGGCTGAATAATAATTCATTGTGTATATATGACATTTTCTTCATCCACTCATCTGTCGATGGTCAATCTGGGCTGATTCCATAACTTGGGTGTTGTGAGTAGTGCCCCCATAAACATGTGCATTCAGCTATCTCTATTTTATTTAGAAATCTAATGTGAAAAAAACATTTTGTTTTTCAACCCCATTCTCCAAATGCATGGCTTCCTATGGGAATTAAAATGAAAAACAAATCATAAAACTTTTATCAATTCCATGCCATATATACAAATACAGTAGTAATATGGAGACAATAAATCCAGGGCCTACTTATGCAAATGATATTTAATTCTTTTCTGAAGAATCATATGTCACCAGTCTTTGCTTATTCTTCTTAAGCCTGACTAGCTTGAAGAATACTGTTCAGGTGTAAGCCATTTACCAGCAGAACCTGGATGACTGAAGCCGTAAAAAATGAGGTGACTACTGAGTCCTGATCAATAGCCACTTTAATAAAGCATACTTTGCTTTTTATAAACTCCTTTTACAGAGAGCATTTGGTCAGAAAAAGCATGCCAAGTATTTTGTGTCAAGGTTACATTAGTACAGGGAAGCACAGTTAAAATTAACTCTTTGTTATGTCACACAAGAAAGGTATGAGGATAGGTAAGACATTTAAAACAATAGATAGCGTTTGCTGCCCTCAACACAGAGAAACTAAAGCAGACACTTTAAAGCAACTGAGGCCAATAGGAGAAGGGGACCAGGAACTAGAAATAAAGGTTAGTTTGAGAAGAATTAAATTAGAAGGTAGCACACCTGTACAGGAAATCAATGCATGTCAACTCCCTGTATAGCTAGTCTTATCTCAACTAACAAAAACACTTGGTCCTTCCTATTATTGCTTAAACTGTCTCTTCAACAAAATTAGAAATAAGGTCAGAATAGTTTCTGCCTGGTAGCGAGGGGTAAGAGGTGGTAAATGGGATAGTGGGGAGGTGTAAGGAAGGGAGTGGGAGGAAGGGGTATAAAAAAATAAAAGTAAAAATAAATAAATAAAATAAAATGGGAACAGAGAAGCAGGAGAAGCACATGGTCAACATAACTTTCTTATTTACATCTGAAGACACGACGCCATCTGGGAACACTGAATACTGTTTTTCTGGATGTCTGGCTTTCTCACAAGGCCAGATACCAAATCACACAGTCAAGGTCTGGTCTGAGACTTTTGCCCCAGTTCCTTGGAGCTTTCTCAAAAGGCCAGATGCCAAGTCACACAGTCAAGGTACCACTGCTGGCTCTGACAGTCAGGTATTTTGTAGAACGACCTTCAGGTGGGTTTTTCCCCATTTTTTCCTCATGGTAACATCAAAGTGATATATTATGAGGATGAAACCACAGGAGTTCAGGTACTATGTTCATTCTATTTTTTCAAGGGCACATGTGCTGTCAACATGATTGATCAATGCTAATGGTAACCTTTATCACTGGACTGGGACACTGTAAAATTACTTTTATTTTCTCCCTTTCAAAACTGTACTGTTTTTAAGGAGTACTATGCACCGTCCACATGTAAGGGGTAGAAAATTATAACCCTCCTTTGTAATGATGGAGTAAATTCCTTTGAAATAGGAATTTTATTTCTTTTCTCATATTTATCTATTTTATTTAATTATTTATTTTTATCAGTTTAGACCATCTGCCATGATTTATTTAGTTGTTCCATTCCTGGATCCATGTAAAAGATCATTAGGTAATCTGTGGGAAACAACTTTACCAACTAGACTGTAGTGATTATATAGTTTCTTTTTTCTGTGGCTTTATGGAAAACTTTAATTTCCAAAGTTATATAGATCAGCATCTTTCCCCCATCACTGGTAACACTGTTTCTTATTTTTAATACAACTATATTATTTGTGTCATTCTACACATCACTTTGGGATTCTCAACATTTTAAATACAAAATTTGCATCCATGAAGATTCACTCTTTGAGTTATAAATTTCTGCAGGGTTTCACAAACATATAGCCCCATATATATATATGTATATATATATATATACATATATATATATACTGTTTCCTATATTGAATTTCTGTCCTTATTCATGCAGAAGTAAAGAGTGAATTTCCACAATCCAGATGACTTGAATCCCTAATGCTCACCTCTGCAATGGAAGCACTCTTCTAGTCCTCATGATTTTAATAATTTTAAAATTAATTTTTAAATTAATTTTTAAATTAATTTTTAAATTTTAAAATTAATTTTTAATAATTGACTTTTAATAATAAAAGTCAATCTGTGATGCTGTGAGTGTTTAAGCCAAGCATCAAGTGTTGATTAAAGCATGCACAAGTACTGTAAATTTTAAATAAAAAGATACTTACAATGTAAATGAGCCAAATAGTTGACAGACTCGTAATATCACACATCTAATGCAAAAGTGTCTTAAGTATAAATTACAAATATGGAACATATTCTTGACCATTTATATTGATTTTCTTTAAAGCTAGACATTTCCACGAGGTTTTCAAAGGTTTGCTGCTTCATAAAAGTAAGCTGCAAGATGCTATAGTACATAAAATATTTAGAGCAAATCAGTAAAAAAAG